CCAGCCAGGGTCAACCCACCACAAAGATATTTGGTATGATGTGCAAAGAACGCTACTACAAACTGTTATAGAACAAAAAAAACCTTCACAGATTTGAATAATGGTGTTCTTATAACTCATAACGTACTTAACAACTGTAGCCAGCTTTGAAGCCAACACTCACCTGACTACAATGTTTTATGTCCACAAAAGTCAAGCTTTCTAACATACCATTACACAAAAAAGAAAATGATGCAGATCCAGCAATATACATCATACTCAAAGGATTTTCTTCCATGTGTTGTTTCAGAAGTGAAACTACAAACCAGCAGGTATCTTGCAGTAACACTAGATAACAGTTATATTTACATGAATAAGCGAAAGACTGATCTGGTCTATCCATCCAGGTCTTCTGCGATTTTTAGACATAGGCATAAAATCCTGAAGTAAGGATGCTAACACTTTTCTTTCGCTGACTGTAGGTCCATAGTATTGACATTTCTGAAACAAGGGGCTAAGCAACACAGTAGTTTCAGAAAAAAAAAAAAAAATACAAAACCCGCTTGATATCTACCACCTTTCCCCATAACAAATGTGAAGTAAGCAAGTGAATGTAGGATTCAGTTTTTTGCACAGGCTTAGTGTTCATATATAAAAAAAAAATTTCTGTGTAATTAATTCTTCCTGAGTCAAAGTACTCAAAGTCTTAACTAACTCCTTTGTACAAGGTCTGCTTCATTCATTGGTTCAATTAAATTTTGAAAGATCTACTTAAAGGATGGTTGTCAGAAGAAAAAGCATGAGAAAAAGGTGGCAGGAAGAAAAGGTTAGAGAACTTTAGTGTAGGCATTCATCACCAGGAAGAATTTATCAAGTTGACCGTCTCACCTTGATACATTGCTTGTGCTGCTGTCCAGGCAAAGAGACTTGCAACACCATTAGCTCGGTAAAGAACTTCAATCTGATCCTCAAGATTTATTTTTAAAAACCTCTCCCGTTTTAGTTTATCAGGAATAAGGTGAAACTGGGTGTGTCCGTAACAGCACGGATCCGCTACCTTTGATCCTGTGCTCCCAAAAAAGAAAAAAAATTAAGTCAGTCAGAGAATGCTCTTTATTATGCATACAATCACATCTTGTTGTCTGGAGTCTGATAGTAAAGAGGTTAGAACGTCTACTGTGGACCTGTATAAATGTTGAGATCCCTCCATTTCTGGCTGAGACTGGAGGGCTCATCTAAATTCAAAAGGCAAAAATTCACGTACTAAAATGTCTCTGAGCAGATGTATCAAAATTCAAAGCGAGTTTTCTGCCAGTTTTTTATTCAACCCACCTCCTTCAAGCGAATCTGGACACACGAGCATCATACGCACAGGAGGATGCTACTCCCCACTGCCTAATAGACATGGAATCTCAACAGAGATTTAAGTACTATATACATTTATATAGCATAGTTATGTACTATATTAAGTCAGAGTGGTGGTGTTTGTTTTGGTTTTTTTTTTTATTGGTTTGGAGTTTTTTTACCCAAAAATAGTAGTTAACATTTCATGACTAGAAACTTACCTATAAATACCTTGTTTTCATACTGCCTTTTGAACAATGGCAGTTTGGATGGTTTGTGATCAATAACAGGAACATCTCCAAGATCTGAATCCAGCGGTACAATCTTGAAGGAAGTAGAATAAAGAAAAGCCACAATGTAAGTCACATTTCTGACATCAGGCCTCACATAATATGCCACTTTCTGGTCAGAGACAGCAAGAAGGTGCAAGTCTTGCTTACACAGACCATGTATATAACTTTAACTGAAATTCATTTTTTTGCAATAGAACTTTTTGTCTTGATGAGGGCTAATACATGCATGTTCTATTGATGTCTGAATTTTCTGCAATATACAAAAAAACATTGTGTGAAATGATGCTCACAAAGCTGCCAATGGGTATTATCTTCAAAACCAGAATCTGCTGTAGATAAGCAAGAACATTTCTAGCAGCAGTAATAAACTAACTTGAATCAGCAGACTGACTTTATGGGTATTCAGTGTTTTGCACTACGTAACATTTCCAATTCCCTAGACCGTTCTTCCAAAATGCCAAGGTTTGTAACATATGACACTATTAACATAAGCAAATTGTACAATCACGTTAGCAAGAAGTGTTCAGCATTTACAGAAAACGAAGCAGTTTTCTGTTTGTGGTAGAAATTGGGCAACAGAGACCCTCACAGGCTACACAATTACCACTGTATAAACTTACAAGAAAAAGGTTAGAATATTGAATCATGTTCCAGAAAACTGAGCATTCAAAAAAACAACTGTTAAGCAGTACTGAGCTCACATTCAGATTATACATGCTCTTGCTCCATTATTTTCCTTCTCCATTTCTCTCATCTGATTCTTCTCCACTGAGAGAATGTTCCACAGCACATTTCTTATACTTGCTGCCACTTACAAGCATAAAATAAGTGAAAAACCTCCATTTAACATGCATTTTATCTAAAGCACAAAGATGACCAAGAGTTCAGTAGACTGTCTCAATATCTATAAACCACTTACCACAACAAGGTAGTAAAGGCATCAACACTTGAAAAATGCACAAGTGCGCTACATGCCTGATTAACCAGGTCCTCAACAAACTACCTATTGCATGGTTTCAGTGGCAGTCAGAAACAGAAGTGAAAATGCATGTGATTAACTTGCTGTTGAAAATATCCACACCTCTGGAAGTTGCTTTGGTACACGGATCTGGAGGTGCGGGTTATCATCTATCTGAAATCGCACAGGATCAACTCTACCCTTTCGATGTCCATGAACAACAACTTCTTCACCATGATGCCAGTAATAGTTAACTTCAGGTTTTAGATCTGAAACAGAACAGAGAGATAGAGAGAAACAAAGACCATCCCTTTGCATTTAAAACCCTCCCAATTCTTGCTCTGTAGCTGCAGTAAACCAGAAAAATCAGAATTCCCTCACACCATGCGGGACGGTGGAGATGAGACGAATTACTAGCGATGGTACAAACAACTCGGCTACACTACCGACACTCCTGTCGGGTTCAAAGACCGGCCCCACCGTCCAAGGGCTCCCACTTCCCTCTCCCTCCCACCCCCGTTCCGCACCAAGGGAGGAGGCAGCCAGCAGCGGGTTGCGACCGCACAGGAAAGCGGCGAGAGTGGAGACGAGCTGGTTAAGGAACGGGCCGGGCGTGTGATCCTGATCGCGGTAGAGGAACGGCCGCTTCTTGTTCTGGTAGAAGCTCTCCTGCAGGAGGGCGTCGCAGGCGAGGGAGCGCAGCTCGCCCATATCCAGGTTCGGCGCCGCTTCCGCCGAGG